AATTATAATAGGCATTAAAAAAAGGCCCGCTTAATGCCGGAAGAAAGGAAAGAGTTAAAGTTTAAAATTAAATATGAGCATGTAGGAGAAGGTGGGGCAAGATGAGAACGTTAAAGTTTGAAAAGTCATAAGATGGCAACCACTTTAATGAGAAAAATAATTTTTTTATTCTCAGCAACTACAACATTTAATAATATATAATACAAAATTTAATTTTTGAAAAACGTTTTTTAAAAAAAAGAAAATTTAATATTTTAAAATTATACGTAAATGCACCGTCTTGCCCCATCCGTGGGGTAAGATGGGGATATTATTTTTATATACAAGAAAGACAAATTAAAATGGTTAAACTGTCGTTTTCTTCAATATTGGCACAAGAACAGTGTGCCTATTTATCACAACGGCTACATTTAGTCCAACTCTCTGTAAATACAGAGTATAACCCTCCACAACAGAGGCATTCTGTGTCATTTGTCTTTTGTTTCTTGTTAGGCCCACCCTTGCTGAAGTCGTCTCTGCAGCAAAAAAAGTCTGCCTCCGAAAATACTTCTAAATTCATAGGCCATATTCATGGTTAACCTGGGGCTAGACGGGTACCCATCTTGCCCCCAATGTACACTTTCCATACTGACTGCAAACACAGGTAAACTTCATTTCAAAACTAAACAATTACAGTCTTAAAGGTTACTTCGAATACCATAATATCTTCATCTAAAAGGTAATGTTAAAGTTCACAATGATACTTACTTTGTAAAAACTTTTTAGAAGACAGAAAATTAGATGAAGTATTGCTGAAACATGAAAAAGGTATTTTATTTCCAAACAAAGAGAGCGATTTGGACGTTCTCTCGCTCCACGATCCCTTTCGAGGTAGACATTTAGTTCCCCAAATAACAGCTAGATAAAAGAACATTAACCACAAATAAACAGACGTCCCCGTCTTACCCCATCTTGTACCACCTTCCCTTACTGTACTGTACTTCCCTACTAAATAGAAAGTTAAAATCTTTTTACATAATTAGGGTGTAATTGTTAAATTATAAAAATTTATGGAATATGATTTTGTTATGATACATTTTGTGAAAGATCTCAAAGGATAAAATTTTAAATTTAATGTAGAAATAAATAACATTTCGATTCAATGTTTTAGAAACTCCATATTTAATTTACAATCGAAAGACATTCTTCACTTTGCTTACACTTTTCTTCCCAACATATTTAATTTTTATGTATGATATTCTGAAAGCTTTCGAGTTAAGAGACTTTATTGAAATTTTGTTGAAGTATAAAATGAAAAAGTATTAAAATACTCTCCACAGGAACTTCTATTGAAATTGTAAATCTTTTCCAACCCTTATCTCCCAAGTGATCCTAAAGGATTAAATTTTGACGTTTTCCTATGAGGAACAGGCTATTCCTCATAGGAAAATATCTAAATAAATGACCAATGTTTTAAACTACAATTAATAATTTCCGATTTTTTTAAAATTTTTAACATAAAGTTTATAAGAATTATTTAATAACTTCATAGCCTTTATCTATGTAGAGCATGCACGAGTATACGTCACACGCATCTCTTGGTCCTTTTTTATGACTCCACTGTTCATTATTTTCATTTCTCTTGGAAAAAACACAACTTTATTCTCTGATAATCAGCATATTTTATAATATGACAGCATTTCTACAACTTTATTTTAGTTTTTTTCCTCCGTTTATAGTAGAATTGTAATTTAGAATAATGATAATCGCGATAGACTTTATATAGAAAGTATGTACAAAATCTTCGTATAAAACACGTGAATGATCAATACACATATTTTGTTTTTTTTAAATAAAATAAATAAAAATTAATAATTTTAATAAATTTTAGCGCTTTCCAAAATTATAGATTTATGTAAAAATATAAGATTTAACTGAAAGCGTTTATTATGTAACTTTCGACAGTTACAAACAGCTCATTTTAGAAATGAANTTCGGATGCAACAGATATTAAAATTATAAAAAAAATGATAAATTTCATCTGCAAAAAAAAAAACATAAAAGATATTGGAAAATAATGAAAAAATAAACAGGTGATACGCAACATTTTTTAAAACAATAGTTTATTAATTATAATCTAGGTTAAAATTTGCCAGATGATTCTGTTAAACAATTGCTCAATTATGTTTATTAATTAGTATAAAGTTTTTTTCCTTGTTATTAATTAAATATTTTAAATCATTCCTAAATTAGAAGCTACTTTTTTTTATGCCCAACTGTTTCTAACTTTTAAAAAAAATTATAATAAATTCTGCACTTATTTTAGTATGAGAGATGCGACTAAAATTAAGATTTTGGTTTGTTTTTTTTAAGCAACGTTATATATTAAAGAATTTTTAAATACAAATAATTAAAATTTGGAAGATTATTTTTCTATAAAATGGATAATTTAGTTTAAGAAAAACATAAATAAAATGTTTCAAGTGCTTGTATATAACTAATACAGAGGAATAACTATTTAAAATTTGATTATATTTTATGTACTAGCGGGATAAAGAAAATTCCGACCGGTGAGTAGTGGAGTTGTAGACGATTTTTTTTAAGAGTGGAGCAAAAAAAAAGTTCAGACGTGCTAGTTAACAATGACGTCTAGACGTGTAGACCCCAAACAGCACCCAACAGAAAGGGGTATGGCCTACTGAACACCAGACGATCCTTTTTCATAAACCCCAGACGTTACGTCACATCGTTCATTTCCTCCCTGTAGATTATCAGGAAAAAAATCATTTAATTTTCCCTGTCTGAATTCTCATTATTTCATCAATATAAACATGTTACACAATACGTTTACTGTGTATAAACAATATAATATAAAATTTTAACAATTTTAAAAAGTTAAAAATTTAAACTTTTAAAATATATTAATAAATAACAATAATAATATAAATAAATGTCGTATATAAAAAAATAATAGTTTTTATTTTACAAAAAAAAATAAACTTTTAAAAAATTTCAGTAAGCAAAGTACACTGTATAGAGCACAAATTCGTATCGCCATCTATCGAATTAAATGCAAACTAAACTAATTATATTTATATTTATAATATAATAACTGTTATTCATTTTCAGTAAGGAAATATTAATATATTTATATTAAGGCGAAAACAATAGGCAAACGTACTAAAAATATATTTACGTGTTTATATTACTGTATAATTATACGTTTTAAGTATAAACGCGAATAGTAAAAAAGTATTTAAAAAGAAAAATAATCACAATAGTGAAAATAATAATGATAACAATCTATACTCATAGAGGGAGACTCTGCTGTATGATTTTCACGTAAGGGAAAGTCATAAAAATTTCTTTACGCGACACTCCGTCATTGTTTATAGCTATTATATTTTTACAAAGGCTTTTATCTTCATGCTGCACATTTGGCTGTTGGTGTAGCTAACTTTTGCACTCTTGGACACAACTAAGATTGTCTACGACCTTTCTATTCATCCACACGACGAATTTCCTACCCTCTTTTGATGACATTAAATTCTTTTCATGAATTTTATAATATTCAAAGAGTGATTTATATCTTTTGTCTTTCTACCACTTTAAACGTGAATTTCGACAGGAATTTTAATAGATATTTTCTCCTCGGCGCCTATTTGTTGTTTTAAGTCATATTTAAAGAAGAAAATTATATTTAACTTAATTAAATTTATTCCTATTTTGACCGAATTACATTTTCCCCCATACAAGTGGCGTCATCTTTTGTGTAAAATATATATTATTATTTAATTTGATATTTTTGTTATTTATGTATATATATATATAATAAATTATAAATTGTTACTGCAGGTTTAATTTTTATTAACATTATCGATTAATATAAATCACTATTATTAACTTTTAAAAGTATACTTTTGATTATTATAGTAAATTTTTTATATATGGCTCCATCTGTTGATAAATATATTAAATAAAATTAAACAAACTGTAATACTGTAATTAAAATAAATGTTGTTTACAGCTAGTGAATAATATGTAGATATGTTTATAAATAGGACGAATTATCTGTCTATCTATATTCATAATGATAAATTTGTACAGATATTTGTATTTACATAAATGTTATCATTATTATTTATATNAATATTTTTAAGAGTTTACGACCACTGTGCTGGGTGAGACGTTGTTGAAACAAAAAAAGTTATGCATTTCATCACGTACATAAACAGTGTCGTAATTTGCCAAGTGCAAATCAGCAAATTTGTAAAATTTTTGTTTATTTTGAACAATCCGGATAATCGAAAATCCGGATAATGGAGGTCCGGATAATGGAGGTTCTACTGTATTGTTTTCCTAGAAACAACAGGTTTTCATTTTAAAGTAATATTTTGCTAGTTGATCATATATTCATGTTCTAGACAAATTTTGTAGTAATACACAAACACAATAATGACCTTAACAGAAACATTATGCAGACTATTGGCATCACTCCACTGGTGTTTTACTGACTTTACTATAGTTTACTAAAGTTGTTTGATACATAGTAAAGTTTATGCTAGTATTTTCAACATTTATTGTAACAATTATAATTTTTTTTGTTAAAATTTTTATTGTAAACACTATTTGAAAATGGATTTGTTTTACACATTACTCTTCCCAAACTTATAAAAGTGTTTATTTTCATATGTATAACTTTTTGGTCACCCTGCATAACTTAAACATATCTAGCCATAGAAGTAAGATGAAAATCTGGAATAAGAAAGTAATTTGTTTGTTATAGAAAAAGAAACATACCTTACAAATCAAATATAAAAAGTTTCCTAGGAGTTATATTCACATATTAAAGATTTCACCTTTAGTTAAAATTAACTAGAACTTAATCCCTCTTAAAGTTTTTTATACCAGACACTAAATATATATTAACTATTTTACAAGATGAGTGTTCAATAATCTACAATTTTGTATAAAAATCTATATTCTGTAATTAGATCACTAATAAAAAGTTATTTACTTACTTGTTTCTCTCATACGAGAATCTAATTTATTAAATGCTTCTTCACCATCAATGCTGTTTGAAACAGTCAAGGCATAGGCAACTATCGCCAATTCATAGGGATCATTAAAATTATTTAAAATACTGAGTTTCTTCTCTAAATAATTTTGTGCCAAAGATCTTGCATTTGAAGCTTTAAGTCCAATTTCCTAAAACAAAATTGGTATTCATATATTAATAAATTAATTTTAAATACTTTGATTTATATTAATTTATCAAATGACTTACTCCTCCTAAATCTTTCACTTCTGTTAAAGTAATTAAAACATGAGCAGTCAAAGAAATGTTTCTTAATTTTACATTATCATGTTTCCAGTCGGACTGAAAAATTAATATCATAATTTCCATATTAAAAATAAACTATTATATTTAAGAAAACTGTATATTGTTGACACATGAAAACATCATAAATATCACTATGGGTCAAATAAGTTTTGCATCATAGTTCTGCAAAAACTGCAGAAACATTCAACTAATGAAATTGCCTGTACTTGTTCTTGTAATAAGCATGCATATAACTGGGTAGTCTGCATTACTGAGAAACCTCATAAATGACTAAATCTTTTTTCTGTTGATGAGTTTAATCAATAGTAAATCTTGGTAATTACATTTACAGCTTATAACGAACCTCACATGAGAAAACCTTACACTATTTTATGCAATATTAATTGCCTTTTGTTGCTCCTGTAAAATTTGATTTTTGGCAATTACAGGGTTTTCATGTGTCAACAATGATATTATATAGCAATTTTAGAACATACTGTTAAATTCATTTTCCGGTCATAAGGAAACATTGTTGTTTCATAAAATGCACCATCAGGAGACTGATGTTTAATTAGCCATGATATAGCTTTATTAATTACTGATCGATCTATATATAAAAAGTTTTCCCATTCTTGAAAAGTAGCTTTATAAAATATTCTTGCACAGAAAGCTGTAAGCCTGTTAATCAGTAATAAATTATTAATTTTAAAATTTAAAATTTATTCAACTTAAAAATCTAAATAGTAAAAAGCAAGATTTATTTAGTTTTTAATTTTCTAGATTTTGATATCGACTTGTCTATGATTCTAAATACATATTGTAACATTTTTTTTCTATATTTTATGTCATAATTGTTTAATGATTTATGCTTAATGTTATGATGCTGATGTTATATTATGTTATATTATGTTATATTAATGTTATGAGTTATGATCATGTTTAATTATTTTATGATCCTAAAACAGTTATAGAATTTATTTTAAACTTCTTATATTTTATTTTCTAATGCATTCTTGTAAATTTTTTGTTTAAACTATGTATAAAATTTGTAATTTAAACAAAACAGTATGACATTACAAATGCAAGAAACATGTTTTATATTTTAATATTGAAAAATAAAATATTTTCAGAAGAAGAATCTATTTCATCACATTTACTAACTTTATATTAAATTTTCATTATTTAATAATTCCATAACAAATTTAACTTTTCTTTCACAACTTTTTCTTTGCATTTTCTAACAATTATCTTAAAATATCTTCTCATATTAATAATGGTAATAAAAAATTAAATAAGCAAGATATTCTAATGTTTTTGTTTGGTAAATTGATAGTCCAAAATAAATCAAATTCAGACACAGAGCAAATAATGTACTAGATTTATATGAGGCTGTGGAAAATATAACAGCTTAATAATAGCTAGTAAAGAATTTAATAAAATATGTTATTGAAATAATCTGCAGATTTGAACACTAGTTTCATGATATTGATTTCTAGTATTTATTCTTCTATGGATCTATGATTAAGTAATAAAATGGCTAAACTTTTCACTTTTTTAGATAAAAAGGATGATGTAAGAATAATGTTCAAATTTATGGCACACTAAAAACTAAATCAAAATTACTGAAGTTATTTATAAATCTAACAACTTAAAGACTTAGAGTATTTCCTATCTGTTAATTAACGGATTAATATTTAATTTATTTATAAATATCCAATATAAAAAAATTAGAATGTTGTCATGAATCAGTATACCACCAGCACATCTAATTATAAATCTAATAAAGCCAAATACAATTTGTAATTTGAAAGATTTGATGCTATACATATTATATTACTTAAATGAAAAAAGTTAGAACTGGGTGAGCCGATACACATTTCTCATACTATAATTTCTGATTTTTCTACTTTGTATTGAACTATAATTAATCATATTCTAGTGGCAACATTATTTTGATCTTATATGGAATGCAGTGAAATATTTTTGGTTTAGCTATTTAATTAAAGAACTTTGCATTAAAACAAAAATTATTAATGTGCTTTGCAACATTAATATTAACTATCAGTATCAAATTTATAAAATTATCAATATTTATTTGTCATTATTATTAATCTACAGCACAAAAATAAAATATTACTTTTTTTTATTATTTTTTAAAACTGGCTGTCAATATTAAATTTTTTAAAATCTAAATTAGTAAAACTGGAATTTTTAAGGATTTATGTTTAACATATAAATAAGAAATTAAATTACCAAACACTTCCTTCACTTTTCCACCTAAATAAACTGAATGAACCATCTTCATTTTGATAACTCAGCTGTCTTTGATAACCTAGCATATTAGCAGTTAAAATTAAATATTAATTATGATTATAAAAATTTTAATAATAATTCTATTTCTTGCCTATATTCAAGAAATGAAATGCTTTCTTTTCCACTTGTGGCTGTCTTTGTCCAATGAGACGTAAGTACCAAATCATGTACAGATTGGCTGCAAAGTTAAACATATTTTGCTCTCCACACCAAAATGGTTTCTTTAATAAATATGTTGCATTAACTGGTATTGTGGGAAAAATTGGACCAACAACATCTCCTACAAAAAATAATAATCCAGTTGGTTCATATATACTGTATATGTATTAAGAACGATAAAAATATAATATGTATTGTATATTGTATATATTTATATTTATTTATTTAACTCACCCACTATAGAAACTGTTGCTTTATTTGAGCCAAATACATATAATCGGTCTTGTCTAAATGGAATAATTGGGTTTGCCGTTAGATTTGTATCTAGATATTTGATTAGATATGCTCCCTGAGATAAATCAAGTAAAAATGATGTATGCCTATGTTGTGGAACTCCACTTGCCTATAAGAAATAAACCCATTCATTTGTAACTGAATCCATATAATATTCTGTTACAAAATTATAAAAATTTGCAATCATAATTAATTTTCAAATACTAAGATCTTGTAAATCTGAATAGCAATATTTAAGAATATAAACTCATAACTTTAATAACCATAATGTTATTTATATATTGAAAATATACCATAAATTTAGCAAAGTTTTGAGCAAAATGCTTAATTGTGGAATTTCTTTTTTACTTTTTGAAATTAAGTAATACTTAAATAATTAAGTTTTTTTAGTTTTTTAGGTTAATATTTAAAAAAATAAAACTTAAAAGCATTTGTAGTTCTAAATTTAATAAGTTTAAAGTCCAAAATTCAAATCTAATTATCATTTTGGTTATTGGCCATTCTATCCAATTTTCACTAGATTTGTCACAGTGGTTGACACAGAAAACAATTCTTACTTCATATAATATCCTTTATATAAATCTAAATGTTTTTTGGACTTTTAATTTTAGTCCCTCTTCAGTTGATTTTACTATTGTTTATCAGACATTACAATAAATTATTAGTATAAATATGGTTTTTTCATATTTAAAATCTTGTAAATTCTTGTATATTTATAAACTTTTAAAATAATCTGTTCATAAGTAACAATTTCATATTCTGCTAGATATAAAGCAAATGTAATTACTCGAAATCTGAGCACTCTATCTAAAATCAAAATACTGAATTGAATCCCAAAAGTAAGTTAAAATAAAATTAGATATATCACTAAATTATCAAAGGTGAAAAAGTGTATTTGAGTTTTTACAAGCAAATAACTGAATTCAAAATTAATTTATAAAATTTGACAAACCTCCACATGAATAGTCTTAGTAACCATATCTTTTGCCACTTGAGTTTTAGCCATTACTGTGACATTAATATCACCTAATCTTGTTGGAACAATTGGCATATATACAACTGTAGATTTTCCTGGTTTTACCTTTGTAAATATAAAATGAAATTTATAAATGTAATGTATTTAAAGCTCATAAAAATTACATTTATTAGTTTTACAATGTTAATAAAATTTTAATTATACAGTCAAGTTCAATTTCAATGAATTATGTAATGCACTAAATAAATCACCAAAATTATTATTGCTTATTGAAAATGTTTTGATAATATTTTAATAATTTTAATATACATCTATGCAATGGAGTATTGGAGAAGAATATGCCAGATTGCCATTCCAGTACTAGTTCCAGAACTAGAACTCTTTCTAGAATTTCTTTACTATGCACATGTAAAAAAAAACAAAAGAAAAATAATTGTAATTTCAATTAATATGTACATAGTAAAAATATCATTTGAAATTATGTGTTAATGATACATGATTCCAAAACACGATGTCAGTTGTCAGGAAATAATATTACATGACAACACTTGACATCAAATGATAACACTTGTTCTTATCTATTAAAACAACTTGTGTTTTCAATTTTTGAACCCCTGACATCAACTAAGTGATATCATGTTGTGATTGACTTGATCTCATCTGGGATATCACGACATTTTGTCCAAAAGCTTTTGAAAATATATTTAAAAGCATTTTATTGTTTATTAAAGATTTCTGACTTCAATAAAATTCATTAAATGGTGGACTGTGAAGACATTTTTTTTGTATTCTTCATTATAATTTTACTACTTCAATAAAATTAATTTAAAAATATGATCTTTTTATTGATTTATAGCCTCAATAAAAAACGTCATTTCTGCAAGAAAAAACAGTTTTTTCCCCCCCTGGTGATTGGACAAGATGGAAGAGTGAAGACAACTTGGTTTCTTCTATATTTTTTTAAATTGTGAAATATGACATCTGCCATTTTAATTTGTAATTCTAAGACTAACAGCACAAAACCTTTCTCACTAATTTCTAGCCTTATTAACTGGAGTACAAACGTTTTCGGCCTTCTTAATAGGCCTTCCTCGGGTACACTGTGGAGCGTCGGTTGGAAGAAGTTTAAATGCTGCCAATGTTTACCCAGGTGTCGTCTTACCCGTGACGTCTTCGTCGATGATAGGTATACGACACCAGGGAGAAAAACTACATACTTTTGGCAGAGCCGTAACTAGGCAGGTGCAACAGGTGCATTCGCACAGGGCCCACTTGGAAGGGGGGCCCAAACTGCTGTTCACAAGAAATTATAGTTTTAAATCTTAAATTTTTCCTCCTTTTTACTGGCGATTACATTTTGCCTTATTTAGACCCTAGATGTCTGCTCACCAGTGTTCCCAACCGTGGCGACTTTTAGAGGGACGTAGTGAGATAGAGGAGACCACAGACAAATCAGCCAAAAGTAGCGACTTTTGAAATTTTGTTTGTTTATTTTCTGAGAAATTTAAATTTATAGATTTTTTCTCTACTTTATAGAGCTCTCTGGAAACGACTAATATTATTATGATATACAAAACTGTATTTCTAGATTTTTCTACAGTGTGCAGAGCTAGAAATCTGTAAAGGTAACATTTTGTAAGAAAAATAAATCTGCCCGGGGATTTTTTTAATTGCTAAATTGCTAA